CCGGCATCCCCAGCAGACTCTCTGCTGCTCCCGTGCCTGTCCAGAGGAGGCGCTCTGCCCTGAGTCACCGTCCTGAGGTCAGGAGCAGCGGCACCCGCTGAGCGTGGTCAGAAGGCCGGTGTGTCAGGCCACACGCAGTGGCCTCTACCCGCCCCAGAGCCCCCACGATAGGCTCCGCGGAGACAGGGAGTTGGGGCACCACAGAGGTTAGGCTTATGAGTCTGAGGCCAATGCCCTTCTCCGAGCCCTTCGGTGAGGAGGTCACACTTGAAAGCACGTGATTTCCATGATCTGAAAAACATCAGGAACCTACGAGAGCAGCAGCAAAGTGGTATTTGGGGGCTCAGCCATGATCTCTTTCAAGTACGAACAGGACAGCCTGCCCTGGCAGATGACAGAGGTGACCATGACATCACTGACAAGGGGCCAGGTGAGGAGCCACAGGCAGAGCCATCTCCCACCGCGGAACCACCGTGAGCGACCCCGACCGCCACAACCCTCTCAGCAGCACGGCTTCCCCTTCTCAGTGTCCTGGGTGCAGGACACAGCAGAGAGACGGCTTTCCACAGAACTGAGGGGCAGTCTGGCGTCTTTTAGAGTTATTTTCCTCTGCCCAAGAAACTACAATTTCACCTCACCTCCCTCTCAACAGCTGATCAAAAGTAAACATTAAGTTTAGAACTCCTGGCAACACTGATGGATTACAACAAAAAGAGTACCTGCTTTATTTTAAACCAACTCTAACAGGCTGTCACACGAATCTCCACTATAGTCACCTTGGTCAACCACAGGCCACATTAAAAGATCCCAGCAACTCACCCAACTCTCAGGATCTGAGGACTCCTCCTGTGGATAGAAACATTCCCCAAGGCAGAGAGCGACTAATCTCCTAACTGCCCCCCCTCCCTGCCACACACACATTCCCACACCTCACAGTGAGCTTTAGCGGGCTCCCTGGCTGCTTTCCACGGAAGCTTAAACATCATAGGCCTGAGTGCAAAAACATCTTCAAACATTTGGGCAAAGAAGAATGAAACTATTAAGCCCGCAACCTGCCTACAGCCAAAGAAAAATAGTTCCAGAAGGTCAGGATTTCAACCTGTTGCCCTCTTACACCTCAGCTATTAAACAATTTTGAATAATCAGGGGGGAAAAGCTTTCCTTACGACACATATTAAAAGTTAACAGTTAATATGCCCAAAGAAATAATGAATTGGGAATTTTAACTTTAAAGTGTTTACTTTTTATGTGAACCCAGGCATGTATACACACACGCAAAGTCAGAGTAGCTTCTCTTTTCTTTAAGACTTTGCAATGTTGTTGTTTTTTTTCTTGAAAGTACTTTTTTACTAGACAGCATGCAGGTCAGCCAAGTCATGGAATTCCACAAAAACTGTCCCTAGAACACACTGACCCTCCAGCCGTGACCACACGGTGGCGCTGCTTCAATGCTAATTCCAGACTAAATCCCTAAGTGTGTTTCTTTACCATCAAGACAACAATGCTTGCGCCCATCAGCATTGTGAAGTCCAGAAATGCTTTTTCTTTAAGGTTTCAGGTAACACACATATGGTTAACAGTCCACATGGCAGAATTAAACTGCTGAGGCAGCAACTCCGCCCCCATTTTAGGCTTGACCTAACAGAATTCCAACATATTTGGCCCCTGCAAAGGCTAATCAGCCTCACTTATAGCCAAGAAGGCAACATTGGGGGGTGGGGGGGAGGGAGGGTGCCGTAAAAGGACCTCAGGGCTCATTGCCTCACAGTACAACACTGCCATTTCATCTACCTATGAATCTATACTGATATATAAGTAAATGGGGAAGAAGAGAGAAACCTCCCATGCAGAGAAACTCTAAATAATGTATGTAGATAGTCCACTCTCAGGGAGGGAAGCATCATTCCCACCCTTCATGGTGGGCTACGCACAGTGACTTCCCTCCCAAGAGCACAGCATGGAGAGGGACATAAGGAAAAAGAGTAACTTTATCCTGGGAAACCTGAGGACTACAACCTCGGCCAGGTAACCCAGGTGACGATAAGCTGGGATGAGTCACATTGCTAGTGTGCACCATCAACACGATGTGATGAGAAGGGCACTTTTCGCTGGGGTCCTCCTCCCCCAAAACCCACAGCTCCAGTCTAATCATGAGGAAAACAGACGAATCCCAGCAGAGTGGCATCCTACAAAACACCTGAACGGTATGCTATGCCTCAAAACGGCCAAGGTCATCAAAACCAAGGGAAGTCTGAGAAACTGTCTCGGCCCAGAGGAGCCCCAGGGACACGACAAGTCAATGTAATGGATAAGATTAGGTATAAACTAAAGAAATACCAGGGAAGTATGGACTTTAGCTGATAATGTTCATTAGTTGGAACAATGTGTCATACTAATGTACTAGGTAATAACAGGGGGAACCTAGGTATGTGGTTGCTGGGAACTCAACTATCTCTGGAGCTTCCCTATAAAATTAAAAGTTCTAAAATAAAAAGTTTATTTTAAAAAGCTCACTCAAGGTGCAAATGATAATTAAGAGACGCCTTCACGTATAGAAGATTCCCTCTATCTTCTGCATGAGGAATGCAGGTTCACAGTGCCTTGACACTCATCACAGAGGAGGGAGGCTGTGACAGGCTGGACTGTGTTCCCCCAAATTCAGATGTTGACGCCCTAACTCCCAGTATCTCAGAATGTGATTGTATTTGGAGAAGAAGCCTTTAAAAGAAGTTGAATAAGTTAAAAGGAGGCCACTGGGATGGACCCTAATTCGATCTGAGTGATATCCTTAAAAGAGGAAATTTTTTCCCTTTATTTTATTATTTTTTTCCGTCACTACTTACCCCCCTGTACCCTCTGCCACTTCTCCCACTCCCCCCCCACCAACAATCACCACACTGTTATCTGGGTCTATGAGTTCTTTCTCTTTTTTCTTTCTTAAAGAGGAAATTTGGACACCCAGACACCAAGGATGAAAGACCATGTGAGGACACAGCGAGAAGATTGTCTTCTGCAAGCGAGGAGACAGGCCGTAGGAGAAACTAAATCTGCCGACACCTTGTCATGCCTTCGAGCCTCCTAACTGTGGACAATAAATGTCTATTGTTGCACCCTGGTCTGTGGTACTTGGCCATGGCAGCCCGAGCTGACAAATACAAGGGTGAAGCAAAAAACACAGCGTCACTGGAGTCACAGAACAACAGCAGGAAAGCAGACCTTGCTGGCCTCTGTGCCATCTGTGGCTTTGGGAGGGATTTGACCTAAGGCTGCTGTTCTGGGTGACAGTGGAGTGGACTGGAAATGACCCGGGGGCTTTGGGTCAGGCAGACTGAAGTTCCAATCCCATCCAGTCACTAACTGGCTGTATAACCTTCAGGCAAGTCATCTACACTCTTGGGTTTCTCCATCTGCCATAAGTGAGGCTGGTACCTACACCTCAGGGTTAAAAATGTTTATCTAAAGAGTCTAGGGCATGGTAAGCACTGAATAAATACTAAGTTTCCACTCTTCATTTCCTTTCCTCTAAAAGTCAGGTTGGCCAAGGAAGGACTAGAGGCCAAACCTGTCACACTGCAGGTTTTATAAATAAAGGGTAAGCAGAACGCAGCCATGAGTGGTCGTTCATGCACATTCTGCGGCTGGTCTGCACTACAGTGGCAGAGCTGAGTAGTTAAAACACAGACTTGTGGCCTTCGAAGCCTAAACTATTTAAACCTGGTCAGTGACAGGAATGTTTGTTGACTCTACTCTAAGTTCATCAATTACCCTATTTTCAAAAGCTAACAAACGCTTTCCATTCCTTATCGTACTTGACCTTCACAGCATTTGGCACAGATGTCCGTCCTGTCTTGAAATCCTTCCTCCTCCCTTGAGAACCCCTTGAGGGCAGTACGTGTGAAACAACCAAGACTCAAGATATTCAAGGTCAAACTTGCTGCCCCTACCTGACCAACCGTTTCTGTATTCCACAGTGTGGTCAACACACCAGCATCTACACCTGTAGGGACAGGAGTCCCAGAACTGGGGTTGCATTACACCTGTCAGAGCCTTATGGTCCTCACCTAAAATGCGAGAATAATGACCACCGTGGAGACACCTGGTAACAACTACCTAGGGGAAAATGTAAAGCCACTAGCACAGTGATGGCAAACCTATGACACGCGTGTCACAGGTGACACGCGAACTCATTTTTTTGGTTGATTTTTCTTTGTTAAATGGCATTTAAATATATAAAATAAATATCAAAAATATAAATCTTTGTTTTACTATGGTTGCAAATATCAAAAAATTTCTATATGTGACACGGCACCAGAGTTAAGTTAGGGTTTTCAAAATGCTGACACGCCATCACTGCACTAGCACAACAATTTTTAGAATCTGGACCCATCTAGAAAACCAAGCTTCTAGCAAGCTTCCCTACTGGGTGCAAAGAATGAGGTAAGGGTGTGAAAAGAGGTGGATTCCTCATCTCTCTGGTCCGCTGGGCAGTCTAGGGCAGTGTCCCAGGGATAGTCCACTTCTCCCAACTGTTGGGCAGTATTTCCTGTGTGACATTACAGGAAAAGGTCTAGCAGGCCTTGGCCCTGAGCCATTTTGCCCTTTCCTTCCTTCCCTAATTTTCATATCCAACAGGTCACTACAACCTATAGATTCTTTTTCCCTAAAACTGTCTCAAATTGACCTCCACCTCCCTCCCTTCTGCTTGGTCACTGCAGGGGTTTAAACCACTTTACTTCATTCGAATCATTGCAAAGAGTCCCAACCAGTCTCCTCAACTCCAAGAGGGCCTGTATGAAGTGAATACTGGTAGTTTCTGTCTGAACATTCAAATCTATTTATTTCATCCCTCTACCTAAAATATGGTCAAACACCACCACTGCCAAAAGAACAAAATGCTTGCTGGCTCCCCCTGTATTTCCATCCTCGTCTAATGCCACCTGCCCGCCATGCCCTGAGAGCCCCAGCCACATGCCTGCACACCCTCCAGACTTCATGTGGACTGTTCTTTCCCTATGGGACAGCCTTCCTGCCCAACCCAACCCAACCCCAGGGAGCACCTACTTGCCATGTAACCCCTAACTCAACCTTCAAGAATCCACTCCAAAATCACATATAGCTGGAACCTTATCAGCTCCCCCCAAAAGAGGTTTGTCCCTTCTCTGTGATGTCACAACTCTGTAGACACCTCAATGCTTTAACTGTCATTTTCTGTCTCATTAAACCGAGAGGTTCCTGAAGCTTTCGGCCAAGTATTTATTTGCCTTTACATCTACCTCATCTCTAGCCCAGTCTCCAACACTCAGCTGATGCTCAATAAACCCGCATAAAGCAAATGTTTATGGAAACTCGGTGAAAAAAGATTGAAGCTCCTCAGAGTGTCTCTGAGGCCATTCGGAAAAATAAAGGACACCACCCAAAAAATGTCCCATCCACCTACACAGTATCCTCTTATGATGAAAGGGGCTCTGGAAAAATATTGTGCCAACCTAGCCGCCAGCAAGTCCAGGAGACCTGGGGGGGGGGGCGAGGGGAGAGAACGAGCCCAGAGGGCACGAGTCCATAAAAAAGGACTGTTTTTAAAGGCCAAGGGCACACAAACTAAGAATTTCCACTTTGAAAGGAAGAAACAGGGGATGTAAGCGACAAAAATACTGAAAGGGGGTCAAAATCCAAATAAAAATGTGATTTTCTTAAGCAATCTGCTAGGATGTTTCTTTCTCGTTTCAGGTTAAACATGTTAGACTCAACAGTCTTTATTTTATCCCTTCTGTGTATTCTAATGAAATCTACCTGCAACACAGTGAGAATAAGTCAAGGTGCCTCAGGTATGGTAAGATTTTTCCTGCCTTAAAAGGAGCCAGAATTGCTCGACTGTTCATTAAAACATCACAAACAAGAAAAATATAGAGTCAAAGCTAATACTGAGTCACTATCAATTCCTCAGAAACTGCTGAGTGTGTACTTCCTGACCTGGTGGGCTGGCATCATTTTCTCCTGACTTAAGAGGGCTCAGGTGGTCACTCCGGGGCGCCTTTCTCAGCCCCACAGATTCAACCTGCACCACAGGACAATGCATAGATGCTGGGCTTGCTTCCCAGTGGATTGCTTCTCACACTCCTTCAAAACTCAGTTACTTGTGTTTCTCACTGGTGGATCTTCCTCACTTTCAACAACCGCTACAATAGGACCAAGAATAAATAAACAAGACATTGGCTGGAGCAGCACACACGACGGGAAATGAAAACCAATGAGATGGCGAACACGATGCTGCCACAGAAGCTGTGAATGGGTCAGCTAGTCCACAACACCATGCCCAGAACTTACCAGTACAAATGCAAATAATAATTTAGTTTGAACAGTTTCCTCGACATTTACTAACCCAAATCCAAATAGCAACAATCAGACTTGAAGGGTCTCTGCACGGTGGTGGCTTCCCTGCCTCACGTCAGAGAAACAGATTGAAGACTGAAGTCGGGAGCATGAAGGAAATCTTACCCTTTGCGACAGCATGGAGGGACCTGGAGAGCATTACACTAAGTGAAACAAGCCTGTTAGAGAAAGACAAGTATCATATGATCTTACTCATATGTGGAATCTGATGAACAAAATACACAAACAAAATAGAAACAGACTCATAGATACAGAGAACACACTGACAGCTGTCTGAGGGGAGGGGTTGGGTAAAAAGGTGAAGGGATTAAGAAAACAACAACTCGTAGACGCAGGCTACAGTATGGTGATTACCAGAGGGGAAGGGGGATAGGTGGATGGGGCGGGGGGTAACGGGGGGGATAAATGGTGATGGAAGGAGACTTGACTTGGGGTGGTGAACTCACAATACAATATACAGATGATGCATTATAGAATTGTACACTTGAAAAGTATATAACTACCAATGTCACCCCAATAAATTCAATAAAAATAAAAGAGGATGAAGTGTGAGAGAGGCAAAGGAGGAGAGGGCAAACCACCTAACCTTACCAGTGGGGGCGGTAGCAGCATTTCTCGAGTGTTTTAGGGGCCAGGCCCTTTACAAACATTCCCTCTAGCTCTCAGAGACCTCAATGGTAAAGCATTTCTTCTCATCTCCAGGTGAGGAAAGCAAGAATCAGAGAGGTTGCCAAGTATCTTCCAAGGACATAGGGCTACTGAGAACAAGGACTGGGGATTTGAAACCAGGTGTGTGCTAATCTTTTAGGGCCAGAAACTTCCCATGACACTGCATAGCTTGGGTAGAATTTCTCTATTTAGAAGGCAGAGAGGGAAGAGAATTCAAGCTTATCTAACAGAGATAAGATCTGCTTAAACATCACAATTTCTAAAAATAAAAAAGATC